TTCTAGTTATCAAAAGCATGGAAATCTACATGTTTGTGTCCAGCGCATCAAGCAAAAGGCAGCTTAAATCTGCAAGGCAAACTGTGGAAATTATTTTGCTTCCTGCTAAGGGACAGCTTTACTCCACATGGCCCGCAGATGTTCCGATGCTGCTCTGGTCATACCCTCCACAGTTTCATTCAGTTCCTTCAGCAACTGAGCCGAGTCACAGCTTTTCCTTCATCTTCAGTGATTTACTCTTCGTATGTCTGCAGACCAGGTGTACTGCAGTCACGATATGCTTTACTCATACTGAATGAAGTTACATCCTGACAGCACCATCAGAACAAGCTTAATACAACACTGAGTTTCCAAGAATACCCTAAAAATAAGGTGACTGTGGGCCTTACATTTCCATCTGTGTTCTCTACTAAAGCTCTGCGATGGCCTTTTGCCATAAAGGCAAGGGGAAAGCATCAACAACGGACATGATTATTCTCTGAGCTGTTCAGCATTAGATAATATTCATTTTCTTCTCCATCCTCATATCTTGAATGCAATATCCATATCTCATATAGATGCTGCTTCTTTTTTTTCCAAGGATCTCCTCTCTTCCCAGATTTCCTGGTCTAGTTGCCAGATATAAACCTACTGACCAGCTGCCTGGGGTTCCCAGGCAGCTCTCTGGCACTTGGAGAAGGATGCTCTTTGGCACTTGGAAGAAGGCAATTTCCAAGCGCGGGTACCCAGCAGCAGCTGGGATCCACAGCCAGCCTCTCACCTGGCAGACATACATCTCTGACGCAGACAGACAGGTGAGGATTGTAGACTGAAAAAATCCATGTCCTCCATTTAATGCAAAATCTTTAATTCAAAGAAAGCCGAGCATGGGGCAGTGGGGCTCCTTTGGAATATCAGCGATGGAATTGAGGGGATGAAATTCTTGTGGATCCCAGGACTATTGTTGAACTATCCTAGTTTTCAGACTCACTTTTATTAAAAGTTATATCTACCTCGCCTTTGCTGCTAAAACTCATTTCTCTGCTTGGAGGGCCTACTCAATGCAACGAAGAACAGGTCTTTAGAGGAAAAAGAGAATTCAAGAGAGGTAAATATGGAAGTCTCCACGTTCCCTAATTGCTGCTAGTAGTTTGTTCTCTAATAGGGAACACCTAACTTTGCCACCTCACACTGAGATATGACTGGAATATAAAATAATATCTACTTGCCACATTTTACAATTGATTTAGCCCCACTAGGCTGGCATGCATTACAATTAGTTTCAGCTGTCAGGAAAAAAAAAAAGACATTTTGGCAGACTAAATAAGGCTATTTTCTGGAAAGCCTTCTTCACATATCTTGCATTACTGGCTTTACCTCAATGCTGTGTCTTGTTTAGTGAAGTTTACGTTAGGTGTATTTAGGCTGGAACAGTTACTAATTAACCAGGCACAGTAACTTGCCATTCCCTTAAATTTCAGCTTTCAGCAGGGAGAATACTTCCCGCTGTATCTTTAATTGCCTGTGCTTGCCTAGAAGATGCCTCACCATCACCAGTCTGCAAGGCGGATAGCCAAGAAGTGCAACATTTCTTTTTTTCAAACTGACATCTCTTCCTTGTTTACACAGGTGAAGGCTACGGCTGTTTAAACAATTACTTATCTCATGCTATTTTTTTTTCTCACTTTTCGTTTTCCCTGTATAGGAATACTTCTCACTGCTAATGCAAACTGTAATTGCTACATATTGCTGCATGTTTATCAATCTGATGCCTAGGAAAATCTTGAAAGGTCTCTCAAGCACAGAAGACTCTGTAGATTACTACACAGTATGACAGACAGCCTTTAAAAGTGTATAAATTAAAAGACCTCTTTCTGTGTTCTAAACTATTTATTTGTATGGAATTTTCTCTTTACCAATCTTTATAGTCCTATAATTGACAGGTAAATTAGACAGGAAAATGACACCTCCAAGTTTCCTGACTGCTGTCCCACTTTACTTGCATGAAATTGGCATTTTTAAGCAACAAAAAGGTCTGAGTTTTAAACTGCAGAAGTGATCAACTACAGGCATGAACTTATTAAGCTGCTTCACTATCAAACCCTACTTTTAAGTAATTAACATTCAAGACAGGAATCCTGCAGACTTTCATAACCTCTACACTTTTTCTCCACTTGGCACACCGGAATTGCTACAAATTCAAGATAATGATTACAAGCATCTAGATCCATAACATACAGATCCATAACAGCACTGACTCTTTTTCTTTTCTCTAATGTTAATTTCTGTGTCCAAAGGCTTTTCTCATAACACTGAATAAAAGCAGACACTCTACCATTCATTTAACAAGACAATTACCTTGGAATTAAGACTAAGTAGAGTGCTTTTCTTTTCAAGGAGTCAGCCTTGCAAAGGCTTTGCAGAACAGACAAAAACAACTTACGTCATCTGCTTAAGTCATCAGTCCTCAACAGCTTAGCAAGTTTGCTATGTGCCCAAACAGTGGTTTAAAAAGAAAGGGCCAAGCAACCTTTATAGCTAATATGGCTAATGTTAAAGAAAACCTTTATCTATAATATCTATAATATCTATAATTCTTTTTTCTTTTTTTCTTTTTTTTTTTTTTTAGTCTTAATGAGGTCATTTTCTGGAAAGTACTGTTTTTTAAATGGTGCACTTTAGAAGCTTTCTCTTTGTTGTTGTTGCAGTTGAATACATTGAGAGTATTATGCACCTACCCACCACCCATGGTTGACAACCCATTGAAATCCTTTTGGCCTGACGGTGAGAAGCATTTGTTCTGTGCAGTATTACAGCACACTTACATGTTTGCTGAATAGGGGTCTAAGGTCTTTACAGAATGAACACTGAGTAACACTAGGAAAGCCCTAAATTTGTGTGAAAAATCTCGGTGAGAGATGGTCCTTCCCATTCATCTGCCCCAGTTGCTGAGAGAACTCGGGGTGAGCTCCTTGCACAGGAAAAAAAGACCCTGTACTTACTAACAGTCACACTGGCATGGAATGATTCAGGATGTGTCAAAGCAGCTCAGAGCAGAAAATACCTACACTAGAAATCTGGAGCAGTGAATCTGGATTCTATCCCCACCGCGCCACTCCACTGTTATGGAAGATACTGTTCAAATTAGAGAAGAGGAGCACAACCCACTCAAAGAAGGGAAAAAAAAGGCAATTCACACACACTAAATGGAATTCCTTCCATTCTCAGTCTGCTGCTGCGAAGCCTCCTCTGCTGGGCAGGCAGGTTCGGGAATGCTGTTGCCGAGAAGCAACTGGAACCTTAGGAAGAGCCGGGCTGTGAGGGATGCGGGGTTGCTTACTAGGATCTCCATGTGCAAGTGGATTCTTCCAGTGAGTTGCAGAAGCTGCACAAAGCAGCATCGCTGCTAGTTGTTCAATGGACAGCTCCACGCCAGTGGAGGCAGCAGGGAGCGAGGTTTCTCCAGGCCTCCAACCTTGGTAAGGCTGCCCACACTACACACCTTTCCCCCAGAGAGGTTCACGTAACAATGAAGACGGGCACCTGCTTGGTAATACCAACACAAATATACACAGACAAAAACTGATGATGAACACACAGATGATACACACAAAGTTAGCATTTGGCAAGACAGAATGGGAAAGACCAATTCCAAAAATTGATCTAAATACCCATTTTTACTGAATATTCTCAAGTCGATTCTACTGTATCTATGTAAGCAGCCTTCGAAGTCTAGATATTTGTACTAAATTGGGAACGCTGTTGCACGCTACGGTGTTGTTCAAGTGAAAGTCATTCATATTTGGAAGAACTTATTTTTCAACTTCTCTGTGAGGTACAACCTTGTTATTCTTTACAAGAATAGTAAGTGAATGCACAAGTGAAGTGCATTCGTTTTCTTATCCCAGCTGATATTGCTCTGCTGGATGCTCCATTTTGAGTATAGAATTATTTAAAATCCTCTCACACCATTTACACGTGAGAAGCATCCAAGAATTAATGGCTCCAAGATTTTAGATGTCCACAGATCCTCCACTGACACTTCCGTCCCAGTAAAAAGTCTCATACACATAGAGAGAGGGAGGAAAAGGCAAAGGAACAAATAAATATTAATCCACTGAACCATGGCAAAAGCTAGGCTGGGGAATAACCTATCGAGCCAGTCTGCAAGGCACACCAAATTCAAAAGAACAACTGGATCAAATATCTGTATGTGGGAAGGAAAAAAACATAGGTCCTAGAGCATAACATGAGCGATCATCCTCATAGAACGCTCCATACTTTTGTTGTCTAACTACTTTTCTACAGGACCAAAACAAAACCCAGAAAAAACAACAGGGAGAAATTAATTTAAAAGAAATAAAAGCTAATTAGTCAGGAAGATATTAGCTTCTTGATTTGGAATGAACAAGATGAAAAACAGTGCATATGAAATAGCTGATATTTGTCTCTGAGACAACTGATAGTTTCAGTTGGACAACCAACCTTTGCACCCAGAATCATCACAACAGTGCTCTTTGCCAATAAGAAAGCATTCTGCAATCCGAGAGATTGTAAAACAGCATATTTATGTAGAAGAAATAGAAAGAATATACATTTTTCTCTCCCTGCTGAGCACCAACAACCATTTTCTGGAACCAGTCATTATTACCCCCAACATTTATAGGCAAGGTCTGCTAGTGGATGACGACCAGGGAAAGAAGGGAAGAGAATAAGGAGAAAACCAGTCAAAGTGCAGAACAAGGATATCAGACATCCTCCAGAAAAGAGCATGAGGCACTGACAGATGCATTCAGGAATGTAGGTGTCCACTAGCACCGTGATAAACTGGATGCAACACATTGGGATTGTACTGTGACTACTGTAAGCACAGTACCAAGGCAAAACTGAAATTATTCTTCAGAGTGTGAAAGAAAATGTTCTGGATTAAACATTTGGTGCTCTGTAAGCACCAAAATCTTGGTATGTAGCACTAGAAATATTCTAACAGCATGGAAAAGTAAGTCAAAAATTTTACTTACTTTGGATGGGTAAATTCATCCAGTAGGACAATCTTCTCTATTAAATCTCCACCAATGGTTCGGGCCAAATCATAGAAATCATTTTTAGAGTATGTCTCGGAAGGCAGCCAAAAGGAGATGTCGTTGATCAAAGGTGGGTATTTGCTGAGTGGCTAAAAAAAAAGAAAAAAAAAAAAAGCCATACCTTTATAAATGGCTGGCTTGAGTAAGAATACATACAACTCTACTTTGAACTTGTGTAATACACAGGACAGATATTTTGGAAGCTTTCTGAAAAATATTTTCCAGTGCAGTCTCACCTCAGAAACAACAGAGATGCTAGATTCTATTTTAGAAAATATCTTTTAAAGGTCCCCATACTTCGCTTCGTTCAGAAGGAGAGAAAGATGTGCAGGTGCCACTTCTTCAATTCATTTGAGTCTTCATTCCTGTTTAATAATGAAAATCTTTTTGCTAAGCAAAATCTTGTAGGTAAGAAATGAAGATGGTATCTTTTTTCTTTTTTTTCTCCTTTTTTTCCCCCTTTTCCTTTTCTCTTTTTTTCTTTTTTTAAGAGGCAAATGAATTCAGAAGAGCACTCAAAAGTGAAATTTGGTTTTGTAGTTAGGATAAGCATTAATTCTGTTAATTGCCTGTGAACAAGAACTGTACTTAATTACATCTTTTCTAGATGTTTTGGCTCAGAGATCCTGAAAGGGAGGGGGAAAAAAAGAAGTTTTTTTGTTTTCTAAAATCAGCATTTATGGCTGTGAATACACCCTGGGATCAGAGCTGTGTAAAAGGAAGAGATAATTTTAACACAATTATTCCCTGGCTAGGATTGCACTTTTTAAAAGGAATTTCAAGATTGTTCACAAAATAAAAGATTCTTATATATAACAGGATAATTCTTAATATAACATGATATGTTTATCACTTATAATGTCTCTTTCCCAGTATTTTTTAGGAACGGAACTTCCAAATATAACAAAAGAATATTTGTGTAGTATGATTATTCATGGATTCTGCTCTCAGGAAAAATATTAATTCCACAATATACTGTTATGCATAAAGTGACATAGCATCTTTGCTACAGACAGAAAGACCTCGTCTAGTGGCCCTGAGAATAAAAGCTGTAATTGAAAATATAGGAAGAGAAAGAATAGAAAGAGCTGAAGCTGAAGTAATTAATTTTGTACACAATTTTTGAGGTCTGCGAAAGATTTTTTTTGTCTATCCGTATATGACAGCTGATGTGTACACTGTGTATGTCCATACATACAGTATATCATCTCAAAGAGAGCACTCCATGCCTGGGAATATTTTATGATGGAACAGTGAAATCCTAAATGAATACCTGCTAAAGCAATAAACCTCTTAAAAAGTAAATTCAGAGCATGCCAATTTACAGAGATCCTAGTCTTACAATGTAAACCCCTCAATAAATATCTGATAAGGAATACAGTGCAAGTTTTAAATTAATAGTCCTCCTGTGAATTAAACTGGAATCACAAATGATTATCCAACTTGTTAAAGGAATAAACTTGTCAAATGAATTCATATCCTATACACCAAATACAAAAAAAAAAAAAAAAGCACACAATAAAGCCACCATATAGGAGCTCTTGATAAAAAAACAAAAGCTAAACGAATAAAATGTAAATGTCTCCTGTGCTGCACCACAGTCACAGCTGTAAATGCTAGAGCTACTCCCCAGTTAACAACATAATACATGTTTTAAAATAAATAAAGTTATAAAACTGTAGCAGTCCCTGCATTTACACCTCACCCCCGTCTATCCCTGTAGCTACCACCACTGCATTTCAGTAGCCCCCTGACCACATTTCAAAGCCTGAAGGGACTAAAACAAAATTTCCTGAATTTCCAGCTTCAGAACACTTAATCCTTCAACTAGAAATGTGGCTTAGGAGCCTAAGCATGACCACTCAGTTTGTGTTGGTGGCTTTTTTCATTGTTAGAGGTATTAAGGATACTAAAGAAAAAGAATTACATGCTCAGGTAATTCAGGAATATCCTAAAACCTGAAAGAAGCACCGCAGCCACAGTCTGTTTGCTGCATATTCATATTTGCCACTAGTCTCAAAAGAAACTGGATTATGCTAATCACGTGAAAACAACACTCCTTTTCTCACTTAAACTGAAGTGTACATAGGGATCCAACGTGGCTGGATCTTGCAAACTTACCTACACAGTCAGACTTACATTAAGAGGGACAGCAAATATCACGTTAGCAAAGTTACTTAAAGATGAAATAATCTGTAGGATCTGTCTCTCTGCATTATCAACTCTATAAGAAAATCACTTAATTCAGTCAATCCCTACTGACTTTTGTGTATGCATGCAAATATGTGTATGCTGAGGGGGCAGAATAAACTGGAAGAACAAGTGCTTGGAATAGTCTAACATTTTTAGTATTAGATGCTAACCTTTTCTTAGAGACTTATTATATGAAAAATTATTCATGGTAAAAGACAAGGCAATAAGTCCATATTATTTTCTCTCTTTACCATCTGGCCACAGTCAATATCCTTTCAATAAGTCTTGTATCAAGACTAAAGTTAGCACACAAATAAAGTTTCTGGCTCTCGAGTGTATTGATCTGTTTGTTGTAGAGCTACATGAGCTACATAATTGTTTATTAGCTACATCTAGCTAAAAAAAACATGGACAGATTAGGACAACTGTCTCCAACTGGCTGCACAAAATTAAGTTACTAAGATTGTACTCCGACACCTGAGCAAACACATGCTGTGTTCCAACAGATCTTATTGTCATATCCGTATTCTTTTTTCAGATGTCACCTGTCCTTTAATAATGTAAGTCCTAAAGCCCACTGACTTTGATCTCTTTCAGGTTCAAGCAAACAGCAGCCCCAAAGGCTGTTTCCTTCTAAATTTACAGACCTATCTGAGAATCCTCTTGAGTGCAATGTGCTCTTTCCCCTTTTGTCTCCACTGCTGTTCACACGGACCAGTTTCAGCTACCACTCCTCACAGTTTTGGGCTGCTCCAGCACACCTCACTCTCCAAAGCTGAGAATCTTTGAGTAAAGCAAAAAGATTCTGTAAAATATACAATTGCTATCACCTACACAATGCAGGCCAGTGTCAGTCACTCCTCACAGACCAGGCTGCTGATGCACAGGCAACTCCGCACCATTTCTTTGGCCCCATCACAGTTTTGCAGATGTGTGTCACTACTGCGCTACAGGTTACATTACATTTTCTGTCTGCTTTCCATTTCCACTCTTGCAGGTGCACCTTCTCAGCCATACTTCAGCAGCCTCAGAAAACAAAGGAGTGCTTTCCCAGTAATTACACTATATCTGTAAGATTCCACTGAGCTCAAGTTGTAGGGAACATCAAAACTGATGACATTTTATTTTTCAGTTTCCCAAGCTGAAAGAATGTAGGAGTACTGAATTACTAGGGTTTTTAATAATAAAATAGAAGCTTTCTGATGATCCATGTCCAATGACACATATTTACCAATTATAAGCCACACATCCTTCTCTTGCTCTCCGTGGCTAATAAATTAAAAAAGCAGTTAATGAAAGTGTTCTCTCTCAGGATGCTAATTTTAGTGGGGGGAAAAAAAATGGGCACCAAGGTTGTAACAGCCTGCTGCTGTGAAAGCCTCCCTCGGCCTTGCAGTCCCAGGATGCTGCTACCCAGGAATGCATCCCTGACGAGTCAGGGTGCTGCATTTCTGCCGCATGGCTCTGTGACAGCAAACAGCTACGGTGGCATAAGGCCTTCCTGATGCCCAGCTCTCTGCTGCAGCTTTTTTTCACAGAGGCTGCTGCTACCTCTGCAGCAGTCAGCCAAACAAACAGGTGCCTCTTCCTCCATCCCTGGAGCTCACAGCCTGGGGTAGCTAGCTGAAAATCGCCTTTTTCAATGGTTTATGCTAGCACACTCTGGACCAATAACTGCAGCACTGGTGGGCAGCTGTCTTCAGCAGCAGCAGATTCCACCATAATTTATCTGTTGGCATAAAACAGCAAGCACTTAGGCTCTGTATGTGCTGCCACACCAGTGGGATGCTCTCAACACCACGGCAAATGGAATCAAGTGGTCACTGACCAAGTTTCCTCTCTTCATTTGCACACAGCAAAGGATCGCCAGCTAACCTGCCCCAGAAACCTCACAGCGACACAAGAGAACAAGGAAAAAAACATTTCTTGAGGGGGAAAAAAATGAGGAAAAGAAGCAGTCAGTGCTCACAATTAGGCCAAAATGGAGCTACTGAAGTTCTGAACTACAGGAAGAATCCAGTACAGTACAGTAAGCAGATGTGCAATGTGCTAGAGGAATGAGGAGAACTTCTGTGATATGGCTTTAAAATAAAATTTTCTCCCCGCTACCAGCACTGATGACACAATGAAGGAACTATAAATCCAGAGGAGGAAAAAGCCATACTTGTATTTTGACAGCTGTGACACAAATACAAGGTTAACAAGGACACGTACCAAAAACTGGGTTAGCAATTCCACAACAGCCAAGCTATCAAAAAGCTAACCATGTTTTCCTGCTGTCACTGGTCTAGTCAGAAAAATATGAGACTTATCAGCATTCTGGCTGCCAAGCTTTATTAGTGCTGCATTGCCTATGTTTTGGAGAAATATGCACATAAGCTATATAGGGTTTTAATGTAAGATAATATCCTCATCAAAATGAAAGCTACATTGCTGTAATAGCTAAACCTTTCTTAATATACTCCACACCGAAACTACATTAATTTAATGTTATCACAGAAAATTTAAACATGCAACAGGCATGACATGCAAATTTGCAAATTTACAGTTGTAACTTACAGCCTTTGCACATAATGAAGTATCCTGCATTAGCGTATACGCTCCGCGATTTATGCTTTTGTATTTATGACCAGTGCAGACAAATTTCAGTTGCTGCAAGAAACATAATTTTGAATTTCTTGGCTGTCATGGTTTAAAATTTTCAGCCACAGTCTCCCATTATGATGTTTGCTATCCTTTCCTTCACCGAATCGAATTTCTTTGCTTTTCTAAGTTATATACAGGGCATTATATATATTCATATGCGTATACACAAATACACACATATATATATAAAAATATACACATATACAAACATATATATATACATGCATTTATTTGTATCTACACACATATA